AAACTGTCATCGATAAATAATTAACGCCAAGAAGATATTTTTTTAAACTATGATTGGTTTATTTGTTTATTGCTCTCTGAAGATAACAGTCGCAATTAGTTTGAGACGTAACACTAACGTTTGGAATATCATCCGATCACGACTAATCAATAGTTCGATATCCAGTGATTGCCTCACACGAGCAAGAAAGAAATGAAAAGAAAAATTGTTAAAGTCTTTGTTTTAAACAGAAAAATATCAACAACACGCACATATATAGATAGGTTCCTTATCCTCCAACAAAATTGCTTTCCTTGGCAATGCACTTAATACAAATATGCGATAAAAAAACTGTCAGGGAATTTGATCATTGAAACAATTTCTTATGCTAAAACTTATTTTCAACCGTGTTTTTAATTAATCCGTATACATATGAAGCAATATCCCAAAAGCTACAATTCACAAAGGGTAGCGGCAAAAAGATACTATTTACTAAGGGCCAGTTAGTTAATTGCCATCCGTGATACACGCTTGGCTGATCATGTCTATTTCGATTCATGGCTGACTAGGTAGGTGATTTTCCCGCAGAAATTTGTTATTACTTTCTGCGATAGACTGGTTGGCAAAAAACCCCCCCAAAACTATAGGACTCTGCTATTCAAAGCATAGCTACGGCTGAATACATGGTTTCATATCTTTCCAAACGATATTTACGTGAAAGTGACTTCCGAAGTCGGCTCTTCGTGTTCTGATTGCTAGCCGAAAAGGTAGCGGCAATATACTACATTTTTTTGCGTAAGTTTTTTAGATTTCCCGATCTTCCGAGCAGCAAATTATATAAATATATATAAATTAAGGGGGATTTGAATAATAATAGGTAATTCATCGAATGTAGAAGAATACTTAATAGAATGCATCATCAGTGAGTATCCACTACCGAGAATCGAACCCGGAGCGTTACAATATGACGCAAGCGATATGACGCAATATATATATATATATATATATATATATATATATATATATATATATATATATATATCACTGCTTGAACCAGTTTCAAATGCTCCGGATGGAACGGCTTGGGGATAGAGGACGTAGCTCATGGGGGCACAGTCTATTGGTATAAGTAGACTCGGATGAGTCTCACGACGGGATTTGTGAAGAGCTGGCGCTCTGTCGAGTCTGCTATGTTACATTTCCGTCACCGAAAACGTCGGTTCAGTGGGTATGACGCTTGCGTCATATCATAACGGTTCTGGTTCGATTCACGGCAATGGATGCGCACTTCTGAGTCCCCAAAATAGAACGAAACGGCCGTCCAGTGCTTACTGCATTCTGTTAAGAATTCTTCTAGATTCGAAGAATTATGATTATTCAAATCCCCTATATATATATATATATATATATATATATATATATATATATATATATATATATTCACTGCTTCGACCGGTTCCTAATGCTCCGGATTGTGCGGATTGGGGATAGAAGACGTGACTCGTGGGGCACAAAAGCAAGATACGTTGGCACAGTGGGTATGCCGCTGTGTCATATTCTAACAGTCCGGATTCCATTCTCTGTATTGATGCGCACTGCTGATGAGTCCTAAAAATAGGACGAAATGGTTGTTTATTGCTTTCTTTTTTCTGCATTCTGTTAAGATTTTCTTGATGAATTAATTCTGATATATATATATATATATATATATATATATATATATATATATATATATATATATATCAGAATTAATTCATCAAGAAAAATGCATGCAAAAAGCAGAAATATATATATATATATATATATATATATATATATGTATGTATTGATTTTGTATTTAGAATGCAATCCCTCTTTTAAAATGTATCGTTAAAATCGTCCTAGAAGGTAATGCGTGTAAGCTTTTTTATTTAATTTTTCGTGTGATCGTAAAATGTTTTATGAACATAAACTGTCCAAAGAACTGTATATCTGAGCGATTTCGGTTAATCTTTAATCCTTTGTTAAGGGTGATTCTTATTTATTTATTTATTCATTTTTATTAAATATGTGTTTTTTCTGTATATGTCTAAAATTATATGAATGTTTTATTTTCCGTACAGGTTCAGTAAAATGCACAATAACAAATAAAGTAAACAAATATTTTGTTCTTGATTTTAGAGCTCTGTGTGCGTTCACACCAATCATTATTTCTCATAGTAATGTCAAATAACAACATTTAGGATAACATATGATCTATATTTTTGATTAAGTTTCATTATCATTGTGGTGATAAATACTAAACAATTTTTAGTATAATATACATTATACGGTATTTTGTGAAGTGTTAAGCAACAAAACATTTAAAATCCGATAAAATCTTCATTTCCCATTACTGAATACGCACCATTTATACGAATGAATTTATTTTCATAAAGATTCATTTTAATACTTTATATTATTATATTCCTTTCGATTTGGTAACAATAAAGTTAAACAAAACAGCATTTTAATAACATCAGCCATAATTCATGCTTCTAGGAATCATTATGATAGGCATTATTGCTAATGGCAACTTAGGCTGGCCTACAGTACGTGGGCTGGCCTACAGTACGTGGGCTGGCCTATACTACGAGAGCTAACCTAGAGTACGTGGGCTAGACTACAGTACGACAGCTGGCCTACAGTACGACGGCTGGCCTACAATACGTTGTCTAGCCTACAGTACGTTGGCTAGCCTACAGTACGTGTGCTCGACTACAGTACGACGGCTAGTCTAAAGTACGTGTGCTCGCCTACAGTACGACGGCTAGTCTACAGTACGTGTGCTAGCCTACAGTACGACGGCTAGTCTACAGTACGTGTGCTAGACTACAGTACGACGGCTAGTCTACACTACAGTACGACGGCTGGCCTACAGTACTTTGGCTAGCCTACAGTACGACGGCTGGCCTAAAGTACGTGGGTTGGCCTATGATATCGCGCGTCTAATGCTACTGATAACAAATAAAATCACAAAACTTACCTAGATATTGGGTTTAGTCTTATCTATAAGTATATAAGCTAACAGATTTCGTTTAAGATTTTTCTTCTAGGTTTGTGCTTCCATAACATTTGTTATTAAAATTCGTCCGAAGAAATCCTTTAGAGTAAAACGCATTACAAGAAAATATTTTCCACATTGCGATACATTAAATTTTTCACTAAAATTGTTCTTGATATACCAGGTGTAACAGCAAAATAGTTCAAAAATTTTAACAGTCTTATCATCGATCCCAAATATTGTTTAATTTCTAAAAGACCACTAAACTAATTGATATGTTCCGGGAAGGGATATGCTTGTTCGAATTAGCAAAGTGGTTTTGGACTACTGTAACCGAGTAGGACAATCTAGCAGGTAACCGTGATGGACGTCCTCCTGTACCTCCACATCAGTCTGTGTTTATGGCTGACACCAGCCAATCATATTACTGTGGTGGGGAACCTAGGTGTATGCAGATTCATTACATCAATTGAGTACTTTTTTTCCAGGTTTTTACATAAGACTTTTAGTCATTTTCACATCAATTTTCTTAAAAATCATTGAAAAAAACCCTTTGAGTTACTCAGATAAAAATAGGTCAGGTTCAAATTGTTTTTATCATAACTAATGTCTTCCCAAATGAGCAATGGTGAGAGGAAAAAGATAATTCAGCCCTTCAGTAATGGTACCAACATTCAAACTCTAGCTTTCATCTTCAAAGTCAGTTCATCAAGACTCGCACTATCTTTTTCTCTTTCTTTTCTTGTGTGTGGATCCCACCTATTTATACACAAAAATTGTATATCGTTATCCTTCTTGTACATATATATATATATATATATATATATATATATATATATTAAAGTGAACATAGAAGTCAACACTTAGATGCAAGAGTCTGTTTCTAGCATGAAACAGACTGCCGTTTCTAAGAGTTGACTTCTATATTTACTTTTATATTTACACAAGCTCTATCTCTGATATTGAGCACTTCATCCCATAAATATAGCACATCTTAAGACTATATTTTTTCACACACACACACACACATACACACACACACACATATATATATATATATATATATATATATATATATATAGCGTGATGTGTGTGTGTGTGTGTGTGTTCATGAATGAATGAATGAATCAGACATAATGGTATGAATCTCAGTCATTTTTGAAAATGTCTTCTCAATGTTTTACCGATGGAGCTGCCTCATAAAAATATTTCAGAATCGAAATGTGTCAAAGTAGAATTTATTCTCAGTTTGCTTAGTTTGGATTGGTTTGGATTCTATCGTTTTCATGTCAAGTCTTTCCATAATTTTTTGTAATTCATATAGAGGCCCGGTTTACACGAGAGAAAAAAAAAACATCGACATTGGTTCGGTTTGCACGAAAGTCAAAAATTAAACATTGATGCTACTAAAAGATTGTCGTTTTTGTAAGGTTTTTACTTACTTGCAGAAAGATAGTGTCAGAGTATTCCCGACAGCAACTGACAGGACGCCTTCGTAATTGTTTGATATAGAGTCGAATAGTAAGATTCATTTGTTTTGTTGAATTTTGATGTATAATTTTCATTGTATTTTATTCAATGTAAATGATTAATATTTAACAAAAATGAGATAACATTGAAAAATAAATATTTGTTGCATAAAAGAGAATTTATTTTTTATTCCCAATTGCGCCTCGCATTATTGATCTAACTGTCGACATATGTAAAACATGCAATAACTCGTGACTCTATCTATCTATCTATCTATCTATCTATCAAGCTAGCAAGCTATCAAACTTTACATCACATCTCTCTATCTCAGTTTTTACATCTATGTTCAATGTGTAACTATCGATTTGAGCAGTTTCCTATCTATCTATATAAGTATCTCAATCTTTAGAACTATCTATCTCAATCTTTACATCCTATCTCAACCTTTATATCACATATGATAATATAAGTTTTTTTATCAATATTATTAATTTGGTTTATATCTAGAATTTCCATAATCTGCCTTCAGTATATATATCTATCTCAGTTTGTTAATTATCTATCTATCTATCTATCTATCTATCTATCTATCTATCTATCTATCTATCTATGCTTGTTATCTATCTATTTATCTATCTATCTCGAGCTTTTCATCACATCTATCTATCGATCTGAGTCTTCGCATCTATGTTCAATATGTATTCATCGATTTGAGTAGTTTCCTCATCTATCTATCTATCTATCTATCTATCTATCTATCTATCTATCTATCTATCTGTTTTTTTTTTGTTCCTCATATTCGTTTTTGTCATTGTCATCAAATGGATCCAGTGTTGTTCAGTGCAAGACAGACGCCGCCATGTAAAAAATTATTCTCTTTGCAGACATGAGAAAAACAGTTGGAATTCATGAATATGCATGAATTTTTCACCTAATATGCTAAGATAGATTCTTTTGAAAATAAGGCGAACGCGATCAAATGAACAAGGAAGAATGCAGCTGTATACAGAAACATACATATATAAACAAAAATCGATACACTCTTCTATACACGACCAATCATACGCAAATATATTATTTGCTACGCAGGTACCTATTTTTGACATAACATGTTCTCATAGATCTTTATGGCTTTACACATGCGCGAGAATATTGATTGAGTGTCAAGTATTTTTCAGATTCTTCTGTGACTGAATCAGCCAGAAATATATTCAGAAAGAAAAAAAATGTATTTGCATTCCTATATTTTTTGGACAGAATATGCCTTCCTTTCATCTATCCATAATATGACATCATTAGGGGTACAACACTTTGAAAGTCTTCAGTGGTAACTCGACACTGAGTGGCCTATCAAAGAAATATACCACGAAAATATTTGATTCTCAGATTGGCTTCTCAATGCCTAGCTAGTAACGCTCATTACAATACGTGTCTCAGGAAAAAAAAGAATATATATATATATATATGATGAGAATATAGTTTTAATTTATGCTATATATATGGGTATAAGTGCTCACTATCAGGGATAGAGCTTCTGTAAATAATTAAGTGAACAGTAAATCCGAGTGGAGACGTCCTGCTGGAATGTATTCATCAGATAACCTGAAGATAGCTTTTAAGTATGAAACAGACTGTCGACAATCAGTGTAGACCTCGGTGTCTATACTGTTATATATATATATAAAAAATCCAAAATTTATAAATAGTTTTAAAAACTAGAAACCATTTTTTAATAGCTCTTCAGTGTACAATCGTTGATTAGCGATTGAATTGCTTTGAAGAGCGAGAATCACACTAAAATAACAAACAAGAATATACCCGACCGATTTAAAATAAGGTCAAATCTGTTGGGGATATTTTATTTAGTCTCTAGAGATCCTTTTAATATTAAAATCAATGGTTTCCATTGAGAAATATAAATATTATATATATATATATATATATAAATAAGACAGACACGGTTTTCCCTCTTAAGTGTGGCTAAATTTTGATTGCTTCAATTCAATCGAAACCCGACCATTTGGCATCCGTAATTATACCCTAGGGGCCATCGAGTTTTTTTTTTCTAATGTGTCGCCAGTGGACACAACTCAATTCACATAAGAGATAGTGCGTAATCGTAGTATTGTTTTTTAAATGGCTGTCGACACACGCACATCTCAAATAGTGTACTCAAAAGCGAGTATGACCGTCACTGACATATTCATTCCATCAGTTAAACTCCCCCCCGCTACAACACATTTGTCTTGTGAACAACAGTGTTTCATAAAACCAGCCAATGATCTGCATTTCTTGTTAAAATTATATGTTTCATAATAAAAATACTGTTGCACTACATTATTCGGAATATTGTTCTCATCTTTGACGCCATATTTATTACAACGTTTCGATCGTCGTACGCTCCGGCCTTCTTCAGGTGGTTGGAATGTCGAGCTGAACCCTTTATTTCGCTCACTGGGATAGACTGTTCTAGTTCCACGTGCCATGTTTGATGGATATCAGTTATCTCCAGTTACTTCCCCTCGCCATGTTCTCCACTGCCTTACCCGGGTATTGAACTCACACTCTTTGGGTCCTGTCATTGGATCTAATTGACGCCTTTATCCACTGGACCATGTGTCCTCAAGTGGATAAAGGCGTTAATTAGATCCAGTGTCAAGACCCAAAGAGTGTGAGTCGATCATAAACGAAAATTGCATCTTCATCATTAATTTATCATAGTTATGGATCGGATGCTCATGAAGGATTGGATCAAAGATCAATTATATATATATATATATATATATATTATTTCAAAATCATTTTCAACATATTCAAGATGATCTTCACCCTCTCTAACCTTCAAAGTTTCTGTCCTGGAGAAACAAGCTGCCTCACACGTTTAAATTACGATTCGATTTTCAAGACATTTTCACTGCTCTTTGGACTGTCATAGCTGAAACTCCTGTCATATGCCAAAAGTATTATGAATTGTGTTGCATTTATTCCAATTGATTTCTTTCGCTCTAAGTTGAAGTGAAGATCCCTCTTCCTCATGTGACATCCTGACCATGTTTTCCTCTCAAATGTTCTAAATCTTTTAAATTATTCATCCTTCTCCGAATGGTTCTTGCAGGAATTTGAAGATGGCACCTAGAGTATGAATTTTGGTACGATTACTGAAGGCGGGTATAATCTTTTTCTACTCACCATTGTTAAGTTGGGAAGACATAATCGGTCTGACACAAAATGATTTTAACCTGTTCTCTTTCGAGCTGATTTAGCTTTTTCAGTGGTTCTTACGTCTATTGGTGTCAACATAGCTAAATGTCTCATCTAAAGACCTGAAAAAAAGAAACTCAGTAAGTTTATTGGTTTATTAGATTTTATTTATTAGATCTATCTATCTATCCATCTATCTATCTATTATATCTATCTATCTATATATATATATATATATATATATATATATATATATATATATGTATTCAACCGAACTGAATTGAGCCCTCCCGGCGACTAGACGTATTTCGCACAGAAAACGTTAAATTTTTTTTCCTCTCTGCCGTGCGACGATAGCCTAGCGTTGAATCTCTGATTGATACAAAATCGGTCGGGATTCGAAGCAACCAGACGTCTTGAACCAACCGGACGTCTAGCCACACTGAAGAACTGTGATACAGGGAAACCATATGTTTGTGGATAAGAATACATATATATATACACAGTTATAAGATAAGTAACACTGGAGTGCAATTCAAATGTCCATAGCATTTAATTTAAAAAAAGGACTCATTATAGAATAGAGCTTTATATTAATTATTTATAAGAGATTAAAACAGAAACGTGTTAAAATCGCTACACAATAGATTTCGTCTTTCGGCACCTAACTGTGTCTCTTCAGGCGATGTTAAATACTGGAAAGGAAACGATTGTTTTAAATTCAAAAGCAAAATTCCCGCCTCTAAAATAAAGTCGAGAAAACACAAAACCATAATTAAAATTATGCTTGGGGGTTTACCTCGATTAACCAATCAGATATCAGATCTACCCTTCATTTATAATTAACCTCCGACCAAAATATAATGGCATAACGTGGCCTAAAACGGAATCCTAGACTAAGTTATTTATGGCAGATATTAAATTAATCTAAATTATAAGTGAGTGGCAAAACTATATCGTAATCTGTGGACAACGATAATATGTTCAATTTTCTACAGGAAGTCGAGAAGAGGATAGGAGAGAGATAAACATAATACTAGTTGTAACAGAGCCTTTGTAGCTTATAATTAAAAGGCTACTTTAAGAAACTAGCGAATATATCTTAACCGTATAAAAATAATAAAACCTAAATTAAAAATGAACTTTAGTGCCAATCAATATACAGCCATGAAGTGGGCGAAAAATCAGATAATACTGACTGGACACCTATACATAGATAAACTATATCTAAATAAATATAAGAAATAATTTAATCGCACATAAAAGGTGCACCGCAATTTGCTAAATGATTATGATCATATGAAATAGTACTATCAAAGTTTTTAAATATTTTATGGTAAAAAGTTAAATTAAGCCTACAATTTACAGTTAACTCGCTTCTTTGGTTTAATAAAGAATTTTTATAAGTATGTCTAATAATTACGAATTTCTACTGTAAGCAGAAGGATGGTTCGTTTAATGATTTACATGTTCTAGCTCTTTTAATACTCTCCATTTTACAGCGGCCTTTTAAATTCCAAAAATAATTTGAAAGACTATTCTATTTTTATAAACGCTATTGGTGAAGGACAGGGTATCTTTAAAATATGTTTAAAATAGTCTTAAAAGAATCCTTAGTACCCCCTATATAATTTTTTCAAAGTTTGTTTTTCTGTTGTAGATATAGGGCTTAAGTAAACTCGAGTGTTGGTGGAACATCTATTTTGGAATGGGCAATCGTTAGAATTTCTGCAATTACATTTGTTAGTATCATCGACATTAGTTATCTTGGAATTTACATTATCACTCAAGTTTTTATATAGGTATAAAATTTAAAATTATGTTTCTTTATAAATTTTTCCAGATTATTGGTGCAGGTATAGCTTAGCTTTAATGTATTTCTGTTAAATACACTTGATTTATAAACAAACCAATCCATATTCACTCAAACCCTAAACACAAACACATATATACATACACACACACACACACACACACACACATATATATATATATATATATATATATATATATATATATATATATATATATATATTTCAGCCAACTCTAACCCTCATCCAACGATGGTCAAACTTATACCTTCCTCTAAAAATCATAGGATCATTAACAACTCTTTTAACAATAACTCTGTCTTTAATAAGTATAGTGGTGTTCATAATAATCTCCTAGTATAATGGTTATAGGTGCATTGAAATAAAGTGTAAAAACTATAATAATAACGATTGAAGAAAGAGGAATAGAAACGGGAAAATTTGGTATACTGTTATGGTCCGGTTCCTTGTATCACGGTGATAGTCCGAGGTAGAACCAATAAAGAAGAACTCGAACTCAGGTATGGAAAAACACAGATATATTACAAACAGGAATATATACAGAGAAGTAGAAGTGTTAGTATGAACAATCAGGTTTAGTAGAGAGAACAATGTAGTCTCGACCAGTATCACTATTCCAATATCTTGCAGTAATTGTCTGAACGCGACACTGTTTCGGACTGCCTCTGACACGACTCTTGACTCGACTTGGACTATTGACTCACGATATTGAGTCCCCCTCCCACTGAGGCAACATGTGACACAAGGTCAGTGGTTTATTGTGGGTTTCCTGAGCCCGTGGACTCGGCCCCAAAATATGCCCTTTTTGAACCCGTATAAACGGGTTCA